GACACATGGCTTATTTATTGCAAATCGTTAGCAAGGAGTCAAAGCCGCTCCTGAGCTACGCCGGTCAGTCAAGGCTTTATTTCGATACATCATTCATATTGGTCAACCTTGCATGAGGACCCCAGACCGGCGGTCGTCTCACGCAACTCATGTGGAAGGTGCCAGTCATTGTCCTCCCAAGTCAATCACTGTTGGGTCTCATGTTGTTTCATCATTGACATCACTGTCCGGTCATTTTCGGCTCATCTCCATTGTCATTGCTCATCGATGTTCATCGTCATTTTTGTTCATTCGTTAGTTCATATCATTTCATTTCATGCTCGATCATTTCATTTCATGCTCGATCATGTCATTTCATTCTCGAGCATGTCATTTCATGCTCGGTCATGTCATTTCATGCTCAATCTCATTGGATACAGCTTTCATAGTCATGCTGTTTGTGTGCCTCCTCGTTCTGATATTGCGGCAGCTAGCCGAGAGCAGGCACTTGAAGTCCTTCGGCTTTCATTCATGTGCCACACACACACAACACACCACACACTGGACAGAGTCCATCGTCCCGTTCCAGAGCGGGAGCAAACCGCCGGTGTGGCCAAGTACCGGGGGCACTATTTTACATACAGCCAGACTAGGAACATGACCAGGCTGCGGCTGAACGTAATGTAGGTGGAACGGAGCAGGAGGCCGATCATTTTATTTTGGGCAAGCTAAGGTCTTGACGGTTTCGCAGAGGCGCCCTCCGGTGCAAGAGGATCTTATCCGAGATCATTTCATGGCGCTTTTGGCAGTGATTTTCGAGATGAGCATGTACGTCCTCTACCTCCGCTCCAGCCCCGCTCGCTTTGCAGCTTTGCTCGTCGACCCAAAGGACGATCTTCAAAAGGCTCAGCTGCAAGATGAGATCATGAAAAGCATCAAGAAGGAGTGGAAAACGATCGTAGAGATGGAGAACAAGGAGGGCTCCAACCGGCTACTTCAGCAAAGGTGCTGTTTCACGCGATGGGAGTGCTACAGGGAGCCAATGGCATGTTTGGAGTTGGAAGGATGGTCCATGACGGAGAAGGCCAAGGCTGTGCTGCTGAGCTGGCACCCAGGCCTGGCTTTCAGTGCGAATGTGGAGCAGGTTTTTGCTGCAGTTGAGGACAGCTGCAAACGTGGAGTGAAGAATCTCAAGGCAAGCATGAGCAACTTGCAATGCCTTTCCATCCGGGCTGTGGAGCAGAAGGTGGCTGCGAACGAGAAGCAACAGGAGGCAGGCAAGACAGACCGGCCTCGGGCCGTGAAGCTGGGTGTGGAGGACTTCGAGGGCAGCGAGGTCCGTGCCCTGAAAGCCTCGGTTTGGAAACCGACCTCCTTCTCAGGAAGAATCTTGGTTTCATGATTGCTTCGGCGAATGAAGGGTCCTCAGTGAATCATTGATTGATGGAAGCAGTGGACGAATGAGTTGATGTCTGAAGAGAACAAAGCGGCTATCTTTCTGTAATATTCTGAATCATTCACTAATCATTTCACTTCTACATTTATCGTTGTGTCATACATACATGTCATTGCTACGAACAGCCTAAGAGAATTAAGGCTATCATAACCCAGGCAGCCACTTCAACCTGGAGAACATCCTGAAAGGCTGCCAGTCTACCTCCTCGTATCACCACAACAAGGTGGAGTTGAATTGGCTCAAGGGCCTGCTTCTTTCGGCAAAGATTCTCGGCTGTCTGAAGTTGTATTGCATTTGAGAAGTAGCCAAACACAACAGGATCAACAGCCTATGCCGCTGAGGTCGGGCCTGGATCCTGCAGAGTCAAGCTCGAGATTTTGGATTCCGGGCTTGTGCCAGCCCGGAATGCTGCTGCGACTTGCGAGCAAGTTCTACGTTGTCTTGGGATCGACCCCGGCAGTCCTGTATGCTGCTAGACTCGCATATTTTTTAACATGTTTTGCCAGCCGCTTATTTGGCATCACGTAAAAGATTTTTGCGGAGGCCCTCCAGATGGATGAGATTGGCATGATCTTCAAGGGCAGCCTTCCTGCCTATGAGGTGGACGAGACCAAGGTGAAGCAAGGCGACAGCAGAATGCAGGACTGCCTTGCAGAGCTAGAGCAGGTGAAAGCTCTTGCTTTCCGGCTTGAGAAGTACCTTTGCAGAATGATGGCACCTGTTTCTAGAAGAAATACCCCGGGGCAGTATACCCAAAGAAGCACAGCTTCCTGTTGTTTATGCTATTGCATTTCCCTGTTTCACCATTGAGGCCGATGGTCAAGGAGCTGCTGCTGCAGACGGAAGATGCCTCATGACCGAGCCATAGTCTGCCTGGTCAGGAGTTGTTAAGGCCAATCAATGCCCCTACTTTTCTCCCACGTAGCAGATAGCGATGCAATCAATCTGCTGACGAGGTTGAAGTTTTCAGCTACACGATCCATTTCGTCGGCCCTCGCCTCTGCGACAAACTTGGATGTGCTGCTGTGCTTCGGAGATCCGCATCCGGGCAGACGCTGCTTGTCTGGATGATTCGCAGCAAGGACATCGTCAAGCTGACTTCGGAGACTTTGTCTCAATGGGCTGCCGAATATGCGCTGCAGCTTCGACGAAACAGCACCAAAAGTGCTAAGATCAGAGCACTGTGCCAGCTCCCAGCTGTCGCCGCAGCTTGCACACCGGCCGAGCTCAAGGCTTTGGATGACTTGTTGAATGAGATAGATGAAAAGCGCCGGAAGCGCACAAAGGCCGGCGAGGCCGAACACCAGGAGGACGATGAGGCTCGGAAGGCAATCAAACTTAGACTCATTCTTGCCATTCATCTGTTGTCTGCTCCAGGCAGATCTTCTGGAAGAGGAGGAAGATGAGACAATGGCAGCCGCCAGACAGCTGCTGGAGCAAGTGCAGAGGCAGGAGGACGAGGACCCGGGCCTATGCAGTCATGCTTCATGGTGCCCGTCATTTCCTATCCAGTAGATCAAAGGGACCAACTGAGTCGATGATTGACTCACGTTGTCATGCATTTCTGTGTAAGATCCCGAGAACAACAGCAAGGAGGAAGACGATGGTGCCGCTGCTGAAGACGGGAATGATGATGCAGCAATGGCAGAGGCTCCAGCGGCAGAAGCTCCAGCTGCAGAAGCTCCGGCGGCAGAAGCTCCAGCGGCAGCTCCAGCGGCAGAAGCTCCGGCAGAGGCAGATGATGAGAGAAAGCGAGCTTCGAGGCGGCTGCTGAGCACTTGCAAAGCCGTGCCCGACTTCCTGACGGCGAAGTTCAAGATGAGAGATGATGTGGTCATCACACACGTGGAGCATCGGTCTACGGTTTTGCCCCACTTCCAAGTTCGCCTTCCAGGCGACGAGAAGTACGAAGGAAAGCGGCACGTCTGCAGACATCGCCGTTATTATTGGTTCAGTATAATAAATAAATGCACATTCCATCAGATTCTGTAGGAGTCAGGGAGAGTGTAGAACAACAATGGCAAATGAGGCACAGTTGCAGTGCAAGCTACAATCCCGCCATCGACAAGGAGCAGCTAGATGAGAGGATAGACAAGGCGTCTTTGTTATCGGCCAAAAAACGGTCGATGATGCAAGCATATTACATATGCTACAGGTTTCAAGCCGAGTCCGAGAAAAACAAGCGGCGGCGGCTGCACTGACGAGCTGGCGAGGCGAACGACAAAAAGCGGTCGCCCGTTTTCTCATGATGAATCGCTCACGTCATCCTGCCATTCATATTATAAGATTCCTAAACACCCTGTGTCAACCAAGCTCATACTCAGGGGTTCATCCAGAACGATGAAATGTAGGAGAACGGAAATCCATCCAGAATGCGAAGGGCCGGCTATGATTTAAAGCATGTTCTACACTCCTTGATCCACTACCCCGATAAGCCTTGTTAGAACACCCTTTTGCAACAGGCTTTCCACTTCGCCCGGAGTTGGAGCAAGCAGCCCTAACATGAACCCTAACCCCCTAAACCCCTGAACCCCTAAACCCCTAAACCCTAAACCCTAAACCCTAACCTAAACCCTAAACCCCTAAACCCCTAAACCCCTAAGACACCCCTGAACCCTAACCACCCTCTAAGGGTTTCTATAAGGCTGTTGTAAAGTGGTTTACTCCTGAACTCTCGGCCTGAAGAAGGCAATACTTGGAGGTTCATGGGTAGTTATAAGTGGAGAAAAAAGGCCCCTAATATGGCTTATCAATATGGTTACCCTACTTATAACCCCACTTATAACTACCCATGAACCTCCAAGTAGGCAGTTGAAGCAGCACTTTTGGTTTGGGTTTGACGGTTTCGACGCTCACTCTCGCACAAGGCAGGCAAGGCTCAGGGCTAGGGCTAGGGGTTGTCGTCGAGGATTAGAAAGCCCTGGGGCTCCAATTACCTTCATAGTAGGTTACTGGGGTAATATATGGTTAGTAACCTACTATTAAGGTAACTGGAGCCCCAGGGAAGGAAGGATCTTGATAGAATAAAGTAAGCACTGGCAATGTAGTTTGCCAGGCAACCTGACAGTTTAGAGCCAGCCGCGCATCAAGCTACCACTGCTGGCAGTTTGTGAGGTTCAGAGTTTTCAATCCCTTGTCCTTCAAACTTTCCGACCTACATGCATGTCTCTAGGGGCACTCGCTTCGCCCGCCACAGGTCAAGACGACCGGAATGAACTGCTTCCACCCCGTCTCCCCCCCAACACCGTGCTGAGCTGCTCGTGGTTCCCGCTACTTGGAAAAACCTTAAACATCCTTAAACCATAAAGGCCCTATCAGGAGCCAACCCAGGAGGCCAAAAAACACAAGCCTGAACGTTACCTGATGCAGCGCTTCGAAGCTTGGTTACAAGTTGGATATTTACGAGATGAGAGACAGTTCCACGTACGGTACCTGTGGCCTCAGCTATAATTCACACATGACGACACCTTATGGGAGGTCCCGAGACTCCAAAGCCCGTAGGGTTTCTTACTTTCCATTGTCCAAAATCCCCACACCTTCCCGCAGCCCTTGCTGAGAAACAGACCGGATCTTACAGCTTTCTCTGGGTCCTTTGCCATGGCATTGGCCTTGGCATGTTTTGGGAAAAACCAAATGTTTAGGGTTTACCTGAACCCCCCCCAAAGTAGGTAAAATAATGGCCCAACACCAATAAAAGGCTAATATTCTACATGCTTTTGGGGTCCAGGTACGTAGATGTTCAGGGTGTAGGGTTCTCGGTGCTTCAGTTTGCGATGCGCTGTGCAGCTAAAGTTGAAACTGCATACGACTGTATAGTTCCCGCTTGTCTTGAACCACTGCTTATTTGGTTGTCACCGGCATCGTTATAACGGCAAACTCGTTCGACAGTTGTGCAAGTAGCACCATCTTCCATGCACCAGCGCATCCGCTCTGCCAAGCGCCACCGAAACAATCATGCGCGATTCCTCCATCCATCCTGCGACACTCGCCAGCCCTTTCATGAAAAGACACGCTCTAAAAATTTTAAACTCAGTTACACCATGTGGGTCCAAGATGCTTGATCTGGAAATGGCAGAACGACTCGGCTGTAACGAACTTCCTGCGACAGAGAAAGTTCAAGGACGTCACAGCCGTTCGGCAAGAGCGGCCTGAACTGTACCCAAAACCTACCCAAAGGCCCCAAAGTAGGTCTTTTGGGGGTTCATATATAGAACCCTATAGGGTGCTCCCAAAAAGGAACTACTTTGGGGCCTCTGGGCAACAGCCCTGAAGAGTGAAGGCGTAAACTTGGAACCGTAAACTTTTCTGGAAGCTCAGCTTTTAACAGTGATCATGATGCTGGGAGCATGTAGGTTAAAATCTAACCAATGGGATTTAGAGCATCTAGCCGCAGGCCAGAAATTGCCAAACTTGCAGGGTTACGATACGGGCAATTGTAAAGGTTCGTATGATTGTTAACTGGGGTATATATTAATATTCAGGATCCGAACAATTCGACTCGGGAGTTGGGGCACCGTTCTATCGAACTCTATGGGATAAGGTTGCTAGCCATAGGCTCCATAGAAGTTCCTGAACCTTATAGGGTTCTAAATATGAACCCCAAAAGAAACTACTATGGAGCCTGTAGGTAGTCCGGGGCAATAATGATCATGATAATACGGCTTCGGGGGTCAATTTGTTCGGCCTTCCGCCACCTGTTGCTAACTGTTCTAGCCCCTGTATTTGCCTTCAACTTTAAACCCTACCTATAGTCTCCATTGTAGTTCTTTTTTGGTTTAACCAATTTTATATTAAGGATCCTAAAAGGTAACCCCAATAAGGAACTACAATGGAGACTATAGGCAAAAACTAAACCCTGAACTCGAAACTCTCAGGCCTTAAACCCCTGAAGCCTAAATCCCTCAATGTTGAGTCCTAAAGCCGGACTGCCCCTGAGCAAACACTGTTACAACTCTTATAGCCACCCTTATCGAAAACTCATAGTAGCCATTCTCCGAACTCTCCCTAAACTCTAAGCTCGAAAATTTAAATGGCACCCGTATAGATCCCTTGTAGATCCCTTTAAAGGAACCCGAGACGTGAACTATCAAGCCGGACCGCCTTGCTCCAAGCTTCGGACGGATGGTCTCGGAACCTCTCAGTCAAAAGTGCTCGGCCGTCTAAATCGGATCTAGCGGACCCTAAAATGAGATTTAGGGTTTAGGGACTATAGGGTTTAGGGTTTAGGGACTAAGCTTTCCTAGGGCTCCGGTTACCTGAATAGTAGGTTACTAAGAATACATTATGTACCCCAGTAACCTACCGTACCTTTTCCATACCTGCTGATGTTTAGGACTTCGCGCGTTTTTTTCTTTTCTCATCTGAATCACAAGCTGCATGCTGACTCCACCAAAGGCTTCCTGTGAACATTGCAGCCGAGGCACTGGATCGTAAGCAAGTTCGTGGACAAGGAGCGCAGCAGAATCTCATTCTGAAGCTTCGGGTCGATCCCACGAATCTCTTTCTGAAGCTTCGGGGCGATGCCACCCGTGTAGACGTCCCCATTCCGCCTTACTTGCAAATGTCGACTGTGCATGTCGGTGTCTGCGACTGTGTCTGTGTTTGCGCGTGTGCGCGCACGTGCGAGTGCGCGCCTGTGAGTGTGAGTCTTTGTGTGTTTGTGTGTGTGTGTGTGTGCGCCCGGGGAACCCAAACTACAACAGCGTGCAGGAGCTCCGGTGCAAGCGAGGGTTGCATCCGACTCGGACTCCACGGCCTAAAACCAAAAGCGCCTTGTCACTCTATTTCTCGAGCAGGCCCGTTATCCTTTATCTGTCTATTCCAGGCCGCGGCACCGAAGCCATTTCACCTCTTTGCCTCCGTTGAAGCGTAATTTCATGGTCCCATCCTCCTTCGCCGCATGTCTTTTTGGTTCCGGAGGAGGCCCCCGGGTTCACTTGTGTTAGGAGTCTGTGGGGGACTGGGGGTTCCAGCATGTCGAAGCTAGTGGGTCGAAGTATCGGCCCGGGAGCAGTATATAGGGTCTATAGATTGACTGAGCACACCTTAGCACATCAGGTACGGCACTACAATGTAGGGGCCTTAACAGTTAGAATAGGGTTTTGGGGCCCGTTATACCAGAAATATAGTAAGGAACCTCCAAAATAGTATTGGTAATTATTGAAGCCCCTATACAGTAGTAGGTGACTGCAGCTATGCCAACAATGATCCTTGCGGCTTTCGGCGATGTGGAACCCGTTTCAGGAGCTGCAGACCTTGTATTCAGATCCCGGAACTTTCTCAACCCTACACTTACCAATGGAGGAATAGGGTACAATTATAACTGCTATTACTACCATTCTTCCATTCCCTACTAACCAAAGGTAAGTACACCACCGCAAGAAACCACCACCAGCCGCCCTCCGCCATTTCCACACGGCAAATGACAGATGGGGCTCGCCAAGCTCCGGTTTGCACTGCCAGAGATACCAAACCTTGGGGTTTGTGTTTCAGGGTATAGGACTATTTAATGGTTGTAGATGTCGCCTGGTCTGGTTCAATTTTGGGGGGCTATAAGGCTTAGGGCCATTCCACTGCCCGAGAGAAATACCCTAAAACACCTTCACCCTAAGCTCGAAACCCCTTTTTGCCACTGGACTCAAGTCTAGCCAGTCTGCGACCCGCAATCATCTTGACCGAGGCCGACATGCGCCAGCACCGATACCCCTGAACCCTAAACCATTGAACGCTATATGTCTCCTGCAGGCAGCCCTTGTAGGTGATGCAGCAGCCTTCTTTTTTCCTCAGATCCGAGCACGGAAGGTCTTAAGTCTTACCTTTGGTCAGTAGGGAATGGAAGAATGGTAGTAATAATAGTAATAATTGTACCCCATTCCTCCATTCCCTACTAACCAAAGGTAAGAAGTTCCCATGCCCAGCTCTCTCGGGTCTGTCTTGCCAAACCCTATGCCAGACCAGACACCAAAAACTCCTTAACCCGAAACCCTGGTTGCACAAACCCTAAACCCTAAACCCTTAACCCGAAACCCCTGGTTGCGCAAACCCTAAACCCGAAACCCTAACACCCAAAAGCATGCAAAACTGCTCTTTTGCTCATGCTCGCAGGTCTGAAGATCCCAGTGCCCACAGGGATCTCCAACATCGTCACGGGCTGCAATCGACACGTGGTCGGCTTCCGGAGAAAGTTGACAGAATTTGGAACATTCGGGGTTCAAGTTTCGGATCGGTTGCTGGGAGTCTCGGATCAGGCAGGAGCAGATTCGGGGCCCACAGTGGTGGTCAGGTTCGGCGCGCTGGTCTGTCAGTTTACGCGGGGGGTAGGCCCTGATCCGAAACGAAACCTAGCACCGGAACTGACCTCGAAAACCCTGAACCTCACACCTCCCCCATGCGCTACGGGTCTTGCCAGGAGATGAGTAAGGACAAGCCGATCCGGTTCCGATGTCCTTCCGCCAATCCCACACGGAAGCTTTCCTCCGCGATGTGGCCCTGGTGTCACGGCAGATGGGAATTTCAGAAAACAATGGCCCCTAGAGACCCTGGGTACTTGGAACCCCGCTGTAATCAGGTTTCGACTCGCGCACTCGCACAGCGCAGGCACGGCTTCATGAGCTCTCGGTAGCAACGAGGATTTAAGGTTTAGGTTTTCGGGTTGCGATACGTATCCCCAAGTACAAGCAACTCACAAATCTCTCAAACATTGCAGAGTCTGCAAATATCTAGGAAACGCTCCTGCTTTGCACGGGATCCTCCTGCAGCCTTGACATCCTCAGAGCATCAAGCCGACTTAAAGCCTTGTTGGGGTTTCAGAAAAACTACATAAGAAATAGAGTATGATCATAATTAGCAATAATCATACTATCGTATATAACACTATTAATGACAATATCGTATATTACATAAACATGTCCATGTAGGATGGTCCTTGCCTCCAAGTCGATGAGGCTTCGATCTTCAGCGTGCAGGGGACCTGGCCCGGGTCTCACTCAAGTTGCCTTGATCGGTTTAGGGGTCCTTTAATCTGTACCCCCCTGATAACCATAATACAAACAGAATTGTCAATATTCTCTTGTGTTTTATATGAACAAAAGAAAAAAAATTCTTAAGGAGACTATAGTACTGGATGCCAGAAGGGTCACCATAGGGGTCCCTTTGGTTTTGCGGGTTTATGGTTGTAGTGTCAGGGTTGGCGGTTTAGTTTAGGGTTTTGTCGGGGTTTGCGGTTTAGTTTAGGGTTTTGGGCTCTTTTAATGGATGCCAGAAGGGTTAACATAGGGTTTGCGATGCAGGTGCGTTCAGGCCGTGTCTGTGCGAGGTTCCAGCACTTAGTCTGCTCAAAGGCGGAATGATGCAGTGATTGCCATGGAGAGCTCTGTCATTGCAGATTTCATTCCTATGCTGTCACAAAATGGAGGAGTGTCAGCAATCTGCAGGTGGAAGTGCTGTTGAGAGTAGCTCGAATTCCAACGACTGCCAAAAGAAACCGCTCTTGCTCCCGATTGATTCCTCAGTATACGTAAAGCACCACCAATTGAAATTGCATCTTGAAAACTGAAAGGAGCCCTGATTTCGGTCAACCTCCAAATCCAGTTGCGGGCGCCATCCCTCTCCCCCTCGCCCTCTCAAGATTCTACGTGGGCTTGCCGGGTTGGGCAACAGGGTCATCCGCTATCTACCGTTGCAGGCCTGAGAGACACTGGCAGACCCACCACTACAACAGTTCCTGGTCCTGGATCCAGCTGTAGGTCGCCGGATATCGGAATCCCAGATACTCGTGACATCTGCAATCGCAGAATTCTGTACTTCTTCACAGCCAGGAGTGTAGCAAAGATCGCGGTGATAATCCAACACGACCGAAGAAGTCTTAGCGGCAGGAGGAAGTCATCCAGCCAAGAACTGTCACTGCGGACCACTGCCACAGAAGCGGCGATCAACATCAGGACAAGGGTACCCAATTCTCCCCCGAGAGCAATCATGAAGGGATAGTCCAAGCCTTTAGCGCTCCGCGAAGTGCACTCCAGCGGGCAGGGATGTGGCACATCGAACAGGGACTCCGAACAGCAGCACGGAGCAAAGCAGCGTGAGCCCAGCATCAGAAACCAAAGTGCCGCCACGATGAGCCCAACCACGAGCATCATGTATGACAACAGCGGAGGAACCTTCGGGTAGCTTATTTGGGCCGAGCTAAGCAGAGTCACCCTGCTAATGGTTTGAGGCCCAGGATAGCACTCATCACCACCCCGCTTCTGAATGCGAGGTCCACCCGACCCTGAATTCGGGAGCGTCGCACAGGGATTTTCGGGACAAGGGACCGGATGGATTGATTTACATGCCCATAGGCCCCAAAATAATTCCTTTTTGGGATTCTCTCTCTCTCTCTCTCTCTCTCTCGCTCTCTCTCTCTGCCGTGCCATCATCTTTGGAATTACCCTATAGGATTCTATATACGAACCCCAAAAAGGAACTACTTTGGGGTCTTTGGGTAAGCTGATTTCGAAGCTCAGGTTTCGGCACTTACACTGAATGTAGCCAGCAGGTTTAGGCCAGATGGGAGCTTGGAGCGGATGGTAGCTGCATGGCTTCCCGCTTCCAACGTCGAGTTCCGATCCAGCCTAATTTAGGGACCTTATAATACTTAGAATGGGTTATTTGGGTAGATTGAACCATAATTATACTCAGGATCCCCAAAAATGAGATAGGTAATTGTTTAGGCCACCATATAACCCAAGTCTTCGTCTTCCCCTCCTCCCCGCCGAGACGGAACAAAAGCTGCAGCCGAGACCTTCCATCCGAAAGAAGCGCACAAAGCCCCCCCAAACACTGTACCCTAGGGCTCCAGTTACCTGAATAGTAGGTTACTAAACAGATATTATATACCCCAGTAACCTACTATTTAGGTAACTGGAGCCCTAGGAGTAGATGGAATTTTTAGAGGCGGACGACCCAATACCAACAAAACGGCGGTATCCGCATGTTTGCTCAGCAGCCACGGAAAGCAATACTGCAAAATCCCAGCCAGGACGGGGACCAGGGAAACCAACCGCTTCTGTTCACCAAGACACCTCCACCAAGGACCCTGCAAGTTCGGCCATGTCCCTTACAAAGAGGAAGACGGCCAAAGCTGCCTAGAATTTCAGGTTTGGTGCTGTAGTGTCGTGCGATAGGGGTTCTTTGGGTAAGTTGAGATTGTAGCTACAGGGTTGTGTATTTCAGGGTTTTTGCTTGGGGGTTTAGGGTACATACCCAGACCCCCCGGGGAGGATCCAGAAAGTAGATCCCTTCATGGGGGTTCCTGTAAAGTACTGTTGAGCTCCCATTCGCCTAACCATGGCAACGGTAGAGTTCCACTCTGCATGCAGCCGTGAAGGCAGAATTCGGGGCTGAGCCCCATGACATGTCTTAATGACACGAACGCACAGTCACATGTCGTAGACATAGACTGAAGCACATGCAGAGCATTGCACTTGGCGTTTTGAGTGAAGCAAAAGACCGGCCATAAGCCCATGCAGTTTCGCCCCCGCCTCTGAAGCTACTTCTGCTGGCAATCGATTGACATCCAGTATGGCAACCGGTAGTGAATTCGAGAACCCCAATGAGGTCGTGATGAACGACGATCAACAGGTTATGAGTCGCCCAAACGTTCCACCTGCGTCGACTTTGGTGAACGGAGTTCAGAGGCCCTCCGTGATGTCGGGACCTTTGGACATGAATGGGGAGACTGTTGACAGTGTACCCGCTCAGACTGCAGCGGCGACTTCAAGAGAGGTGCCCATGGTGCAACCTGGATTGAGCTCTGGGGTGATGCCATCGGATACTTCTGGAGAGCCGAGTGGACGCAGAGTGACACCCTCAGCTTCGGCGAGCAATTTCCTGTTGGGACCTCTGCGTGAGCCAACGGGGCAACCGACAGTATCTGGAGATTTGTCTGGTGGGACCAGAAGAAGCCCGCCAGCATTCTTCAGTGGTGTCGCAAAGGCGGTCCAAGCAATACCTGCAGCAGTGGAGGGTTTGATGATGGGAAATACTCTGGGACAAAGGAGTGGTGTGGGAGCAGAAGGAGAGGGATATGTGTCAGCGCAGTCTGGGAGCCCAGAGGGCGCAAGAAGGCCAATCTCGGAGAGACAGACAGTTTCTCCACCTCTACTGGATGAACAGGCCCTACGCACCCTGAGCGGACACCAGGCAGCTGCACCTCACCTTTATGTTCCTGAGCCCCCCAATTCCGGAGGAAAACCACCATCTACTACCTCGAGTGATATCCAGGCGGAGGTTCGCCGCCAAGTTCAAGAATTTATGACGGCTCGTGACGGTGAGTTGATGGCTAGGAATGAAGAGAATGCGTTCCTCAAGAATAGGCTAGAGTTGCTGGCCTCTGAGAATCAGATGCTGAGACAGGGAATTGCTTCTCAAGTGTACAGTGGGGAAGCAGTGGTGAAGTCTGAGGGCTCTACGGGCTTTTCAGGTTTGAGTTGGTTTAGTAGAGGTTTCGGAAACCTTATGAGCGGTGCCACCTCGTCCAAGCCTTCATCTCCGGCCGCTAGACTTATGGCCCTTCATCCTCCACCACCTCCACAGCCGATCCCTACAGCACCCATCCCGGAGGTTCCAAGGCCTCCAGGACGCATTGATGCAGGCTCTGCGAGCAGCCACGGTGGTGGAACTCAGGCTCCACCTCCGCCTCACGTGTCGGGTGATTCCTGGACTCCGATTCAAACCCAAGGTGTGAGGCCCGTGCAACGTGCTTTGGACTTTGAGGCTATGATCCCTGAAGAACCTCTTGCT